TGATTAAAGACTTTTCAGAATTAATCCAGGAAAGTCACTAAACAAACAAAGAGCAAGAACAACAGTAAATAACAATAATAAATGCTGGAAGGGGGTGAAATATGATGTCCAGAATTTTCACACTACATTATTTAAAATGTCCAGTTTTCAACAAAATTTATGAGACATCCAGAATAAAACAAATAAGCAAACAAAATATTCTATGGAAATAGTCCCTGAGCAAGCCTATCATTTGGACTTACTAGATAGATGAAAATATAATTAAAATGATAAACTGCAAAATATGAGGGGACTTCAAAAAATTTGTAAGAATGGAATTAAAAGATAAAAATAAAAAAATAAGCTTTGTTTCTCAACATAAACTCTATCAAGTTCAGTATACTTTTGTAAGTGATGATACTAGCCATTTAGTCCATCCCTAAAGAACTGAGGGTCCTGGGAATTTAACTATGTCAATGGAGTCTTTTTTACATTATTAACTAAAGAAATATGGGTGCTTTCTAAAGACTTTTTAAGATTAGAAAACAAAACAAAATTAGAAGGAGCCAAATCAGGACTGTAAGGTAGATGCCTAATAATTTTCCACCAAAACTCTCACGAAATTGCCCTTGTTTGATGACAGAAAGGAGGAGGCAGGAACATTGTTGTTGTTGAAAACTCTGTAGTGAAGCTTTCCAGGGCATTTTTATGCTAAAGATTTGGCTGACTTTCTCAAAATACTCTCTCAATAAGCAGGTTTTATTGTTCTTTGGCCCTCCAGAAAGTCAAAAAGCAAAGTGCTTGAGCTTCCCAAAAAATTATTGCCATGAACAGTTTGCTTTTGCCTTGACTGGACCACATCCACCTCTTGGTAGCTACTGCTTTGATTATGCTTTTTCTTCAGGATCATACTGGTAAAGCCATATTTCACCTCCTGTTCCAATTTGTTGAAGAAATGCTTCAAGATACTAATCCTACTTGGTTAAAATTTCCATTGAAAGTTCTTCTCTTGTCTGCAGCTGATTTGGGTGTTATGGTTTTGGTCCCCATCAAGTGGAAAGTTTGCTCACCTTTAATTTTTTGGTCAGAATTGTGTAAGCTGAACTAATGGAGATGTCTATGGTGTTGGTATTGTTCATGCTGTTAATAATCAGACCTCTTCAATGAGGGCATGAATAAGATGAACAAGATGAATTTGTTCCTCACAAATTGATGTGGATTGTTTGCCACTGAAAACTTTGTCTTCAACATTGTCTTACTCCTTCTTAAAATGAGTTATCCATTTGTAAACTGCAGATTTATTTGGGGCATTGCCCCCATAACCTTTTTGCAAAACATCAATAATTTCACCATTCTTCACCCAAGCTTCACCATAAATTTGATGTTTGTTCTTGCTTTACTTGTAGCAGAATTCATATTGCTCTGCCAGAGGATCTTTTCCAACTGATTTCTTATCCCTCTTAGGGCTTCAAGCTAGATCCTGTTCAGATATGTTATAACAAGTTAGTATGAGTTTTTTGGTACAAAATAAAATGTTGAAATCCATGCATAGTTTTTTTAATAATAGGCATTTTCCATAAACTTTTTGAAGACCCCTCATATCTATTTAACATAGAAGAAAGCAATTATGGAACAAGAAAGGACTTTTTTGACAGAAAGACATAAGAGCTGAAACAAATAGCAAGATTAAAGATGTAAATCTTACAAAATCAATAATAATATTAAATGTAAATGATGAATACTCAGAACAAAAAGCAGAAATTTGGCAGAATATATTAAAATAAACATTATTAAACATTGTCTCTTTAAAAGACATATTTTAGATCCATGATAAAAAGAGATCGAAAGTATAAAAGGGTGGGAAAAGATATACCATGCAAACAGTAAATCAAAGAGAACATGGTGACTATATTAATATTAGATAAAAAGATCTTAAGATAAAAATTATGATTAGAAATAAAGAATGACATTTATAATGATAAAAGTTTCAATCCCACAGGAAGCCATAACATTGTAAACACAACACATCTAACCACAGAGCCCCAGCATACATGAAATGATAACTGATATAACTGAAGTGAAAATAGATAATCCAACAATAATAATTGTAGAATTTAATACCCCACTTCCAACAATAGATGGAACAAACAGACAGCAGATCAACAAGAAAATAAAAGATGTGAACAACACTATAAACCAACTAGATTTAATATACATCTGTGGAACACCCATGCCATACCACATGGAACATTCTTCAGGATAGACCATATGTTATGCCATAAGAGAAGCCATAATAAGTTTAAAAGAGCTGAAATCTACAAAAACATTTCTCTAGCCACAATGGAGTGAGATAAGAAATTAGAAATAAAAAATGGAAGTAAATATGGGAAATCTACAATGTGTGGAAATTAAACAATACATTCCTAATTAATAAGTCAAAGGAAAAATAAAAAAATACTTTGAGACTAAAAAAAGATAATATAAGATACCAAAACTTTTTTTTTTTTTTTTGGAGACAGAGTCTCACTTTGTTGCCCTGGCTAGAGTGAGTGCCATGGCGTCAGCCTAGCTCACAGCAACCTCAATCTCCTGGGCTCAAGCAATCCTGCTGCCTCAGCCTCCCAAGTAGCTGGGACTACAGGCATGCGCCACCATGCCCGGCTAATTTTTTTTTTTGTATATATATATATATATATATTAGTTGGCCAATTAATTTCTTTCTATTTATAGTAGAGATGGGGTCTCGCTCTTGCTCAGGCTGGTTTCGAACTCCTGACCTCGAGCAATCTGCCCACCTCGGCCTCCCAGAGTGCTAGGATTACAGGCGTGAGCCACCACGCCCGGCCTAGATACCAAAACTTATAGAATGCAGCTAAAGCAATGGTCAGAGGGGAATTAATGGCTGTAAATATCTATATTTATAAAGTAGAAAGACTTTATATTAATAATATTACCTTAGGAAATTGGAAAAAAAGAGCAATGTAAACACAAAGCAGAAAGAAATAAAGATTGGACTGGAAATAAATGGAATTAAGAATAGAAAAACTACAGAGAAAAAGTCAATGAAGTTCAAATTTGATTCTTTGTTGAAAAACAACAAAATTGACAAACCTTTAGTTAGAATGACCAAAAAAAAATCATAAATAAGAAATACAGAATAAAAAATAAGTAATTAAGTAGGAAACATCACTACTGACCTTATAGAAATATATATAATATGAGAATACTATGAACAACTGTATACCAACCAGTTAGGTAATTTAGTTACAATTGACCAAATCATACAAAGTACCAAAAATCAAGAAGAAACAGACAATATGAGTAGATAGAAAATAAGTTAAAAAATTAGTACATTAAAACCTCCCACCCCACACACAAAAAGCTTAGCCTTCACTGACGAATTCTACTAAACATTTAAGGAATAAATAATGAGAATTCTTCACAAATTCTTCCAAAAAGTAGAAAAGAAGAGAACACTTACCAGTTCATTCTAGGAGACCATTATTACTCTGACACCATAACCTAAGACATAACAAAACAACAACAGCAACAATGACAAAAAACCTACAACAACTTAAACACTAAGAGTCCTATAAATATTAATATCAACACAAAGTCCTTTACCAAATAACTAGCAAACAGAATTTAGCAACATACAAAATGTATTACATGCAATGATCAAGTGAGAGTTATCCAAGGAGTGCAAGGTTGCTGTAACATGTGAAAATCAATGCAATACACCACATTTAATAGAATAAAGGACAGAAAGTGCATGATCACTTAATAAATGTAAAAAGAAAAATAAATTGACCCAAATAAAGCACTCTTTCATGACAAAAATACACAGTGACTTAAGAATAAAACTTCTTTAAGGATATCTAGGAAAACCCACAGTAATATCCTACTTGATGTTGAAATATTAATGCTTTTTTCCCTAAGACCAGGAGTAAGACAAGGAGGCCCAGTCTCACTACTTCCATTTTACTTCTTACTAGATTTTTTAAACATGGCAATTAGGCACCAAGAGAAAAAAAAAAAAAAAACCAAGAAAGAAAGAAATTATCCAAACTGAAAAAGAAGATATGAAATTACCTCTATTCATGATAATTTTGTATATAAAAAGTCCTAAAGAATCCACATAAAACTACTAAAATTAGTAAACAATTTCAGCAAAGTTTCAGGACACAAGATCAACATACAAAAATCTGTTGTAATTCTCTACACTGGCCATGACCATTTTGAAAATAAAATTTAAAAAAATAATTTACAACAGCATAAAGTAAAATAAATTATATGAATAAATTAAACAAAAGAAGTATAAGACTTTTACACTAAAATATACAAAACATTGTTGAATGAAATTCAAAAAAAGGTAAACAAACAGAAGGACATTCCATGTTCACAGATTAAAAGGAAATATCTCAAAGATGGCATTACCTCCCAGATTGATCTACACATTCAATACATTTCATTTTTTGTAGAAATTGAGGAGCTGATCCTAAAATTCATATGGAAAGTGCAAGGGATGCAAATAGGTTTAGTAAATGAAAAAGCAATATTTTATGAAAAGAAACGATTATATTTTGGAGACTTGTCCTCTACCCTGACCTGTCTCCAACTTTGGGAGGCTTTAGGATTGAGACTGATTATAATTCAGGGAAGAATAAATATAAAATGGTTATGCCTTTCCTCTTCTCTCTACTGCATAAAAACTACGAATTTCGTTCAGGAACAAAAAAAGAAAGTGCTTGGTATAAAACAGAATAGAGATGTTTTAAATTAGGGCACAAGGACCACTGGAGTATGTTTACAAAATTTCTGCCCCACGAGGTCTCCCTGAGATGAATTGACATGCCCCTCTCAACGTGGAATTAAGCATAGTATTTTGATTTTCAAAATGTCTCCTCATGCTCTGCAGTTCCTCTTAGCAGCCCAGTGAGAGACATGCAGACTGCTGCCTCTGAATTTAACCGACAGAAATGAATAATGCTCATTCAGAGAAATGACCTGTGTTTTGTCAGATGCCACGCTCTGCACAACCTCCTCTCAATGGGACAGCCAGAAAGTGTGCAGTGCCACAGTGCACAAGGTTAGCAGCTGGAAAAGAAATCACGGCAAGCCAAGGCTGTGTTGCAATCCAGTGAGGAGAGAAGGATGTGAAGATTCACAGTCCTGGAGAAACAAGTACTGTACTCTAATAGGCACTGAGTTGATACTGCTTATTATAATTCAGTTTTTTGGGGAAGGTTCTGTCTTTATAATTCTGGTTGTTAAAGCTAGACGTGACTTAGGTGTGAAGGGAAGCTGTTGTGGTTAAGAGAATGGGCTTTGAGAGAGACAAACCTAGGCTTGAGCCCTAGCTCTGGAACTCAAAGAGGCAAAATTATATGGCGAAGGTCCCCAGAGGCGCTATGATTCAGTTTCCTCAACTGCAAAATGCCAGTAACAATAGGGTTTTCTTCATAAAGTTCCTGTAAGGATTGAGTTATCTCAAGCATGTAAAACACTTTTTACCATAAGTGACAATTCTTAATGTTAGTTTTCATTAAATGAGAATACATCAGTATTCTAGCCAGCCTTCATATAATTCCAGACTCTTGAGCCCAATTATCTTAACCAGATAAGAAATTCATTTGGCAGAACTATAAAAATTATTCCCCAGAAGTTATAACTAGATTTAGGCTATGACTAACATTCCAAGCCCATTACTTTCATGAAATAGAGATCGTAATGAGTGATATAGGAGGAAAGGGTAAGAGACTCTTATAGTTGCCTAACTCAAGGAATACACACTACCTCAACTAGAAAGAAAAATAAGAACAATGATTGGAAAAATTCTGGCATATTGATCTTGTAAGAAAGTCAAATAACTGTGTGTGGTGGTGGAGGCAGAGGGTTATACATTTCCAAATGGGTTGGCAATGATTATTTTATAGTATTCATTTTTTTAAAGATAAAAAGGTGAGGTCAAGAAGGTTAAACTACCCACCAAATAGCAAATACTTTTTCAATAGTCTACCTTGAAGCAATGTCTTCTAAGTCTTTGCTTTTTGCATTTTACCTAGGGTTGTGTCAGAGCAAGAATAGAAAGATTAAACAGTGACTACAACAGCTTTCAAGGCAAAGTAGAACCATAAACAAATCTTATGGTGATAAGTAGGGGAAGACTTAGAGAATCTCCTATTTTCCATCTATTCCATATAGGCAAGAGTGCTCTCTCTCTCTCTTTTTTTTTTTTTCATTTTACTATCTGCCAGTGTGCTTGTAATACAGCTTGACAAAGTCATCCTAAAGAGAACTTTCTTTCTCTACTTATTCCAAAGGTGAACAAAAATGGAACCATTCGGGGAAAAATGAAGGCATCAGGCACAACTGTGATGGCTTTCAATGCGACTGTACCAGGCATGAAGGGTAACCTTGGTGTGGAGTCAAACCCTAGAGAGAGATGGTGAGAGATCAAGGGAAGAGTGAAGGGGAGAGGTGGAGCAGGAGTATGGAGCTGGCAGCTGGCCAGCAGGCTACAGAGAAGGAGCTAAATTATGCATCTTATTTAGTACATTTATTATAAGAACATTTCTAGGCAAACATCCCAAAACAAATGTGACTATCATTTAAGCTCCCAGTTATCCTGAGCAGATTTAGTGCATGACAATTTTCTCATAATGGCTTTGTAGTGTTTGCTGAGTTTTATCTCTTTACAGCATTTTATAAATTGTCATTTTAAGGGGATTTTTAAATAGGCTGAATTTGCCCTTCATTTGTGGTTGTTCAACAAAGTCATAAATGGATACATGTAGAGCAAAGATGGCAGAGGAACACTAAGAAGATGTTTGTCCAAGTGATAGCTTAAGTTTTTGGTTGGCATTTACACCAATAAATCAGATCACTACTCTTCCCTGCGGTTTTTAAATTTATGTTAAGATTATTTTTAACATTTCTTTTGTATTGGGGTTTGAACTCTAGATCCTGGGAACACACAGGTGAGTAAAATATGATCCTGACATCAAGAAGTGCAGTTTGAGGATGTGGAGACAAACATGTAAAAGGTAAAGGCAGACTTTGATAGACGTATCAGGTAATGTGAGGCATAAAGAAGGATATAGTTTTTCTACTTGTAAAATGATAGGAAGAGCAAGGAAGAATTTCAGACAGGAAATGATGATGAGGGTAACCTTGGCAGAGATTTAGAGTGAGCAAAAGCATTAGGCAAGATTTGAATTAGCTTGATGGTTTGGAGAAATGAAAGCATCCCAGATTGACTGGGGCATAAAAGAAAGGAGAGGGGAGTGGACACAGCCAGAGTGAAGACTGGTAAAAGCGGGGAGAGGATGGATCAGTTTATATACATCAGATAAGAGGTATAAATTAGGTTGAGTTCCAGAGCCACACTGAGAGATAACACAGATTGAATCATGGCAGTAGCATTATGGCTGGAGAGGGGAAAACGAGATGCAATAAACGGAAAGGCAATACAATCTGTGATATTCGATGACATATTGAAGGTGGTGTTTGAGGAAAAGTGTGGAATCTAGAATGAGTCTGAAGTCTCTACTTGGGTGGCTGAGTAATGGATCATGTAAAAAGATTGTGAACCTCATTTGCTATCTCAAGCTGGGGAAGCAAAATCTACTAAGTAATCTACAAGAAAAAATACACTGGAAGGAAGTATAACAAATATTACTGGTCATAATCAATAGGTGATGCAATTATAGAACATATAAATTATTTTATTAGGATGTACAATATTTTAAAATTAAAAAATAAATATGAATTACTTTTAGGGCAGTGGCAACTTCAATATAAATGTTTTTTTTAAAAAATACTTGTAAGTAGGATAAAAAGAAGAAGTATCTATAAAATATTTCTCTTTGAGCGTGACTTCGCTAATAGTCTTACCAATTGGAAAAATAGAACTCTATGAACATGCTGAAATATAAGGATTCCATTTTGGGTAATGATAAAGTTCCTTCTTTTTTCTAGCTTTTGACACATGTACTTCTCAAACTATATTTAACTGGAAAGCAAATAGCATAGCAGGAAAGTACTAAAGGCTTACTGTATTTAAGAAGCTAGTGGTTAGAAAAGAGGGGTACTGCAGTGCAGAAAGGATTTTGCTTATTTTCATGGCCCCTGACACCTAATGAATGCATGGTATGAAACCAGTAAAATTTCTTCAGGGTTCTTGTGTCACCATTTTCTGAGAGTTTCAAAAATGCTTTTGGGGTGGGAGATACTACCAACAAAGAATCTGCATGCATACGTTTTCCTGGATAGTATCCATAGCCACCAATCTTTCACATTCATGCTATATTTATGTATACACACAGGCCTATATGCTTCTGAATATAAAGATATCCTCTAATATTCTTTAGGCTAGCAGTTATTTATTAATGTCTTAAGTGTAATTTGTCAACAGATGCCCCAAACACTTTAAATTTCATGGTAATTGGCCATTGTCCCTTGTATTCGAGTTGAACATTTATTTACCAAAGTCCTGAGAATTAATAAAAACTCTTAGTACTGGAGGCTAAAAGGCACTTATGTCTGAAGACACAGAAAAAAAAAATCAACAGCTGACCTGACTATGTCCTTATTTCAAAGGTACCATTGACTTCTTTTCTACTACTTATTTGTGAACCTGTCTCCTCATCTGAGAGTCTTAGCTTTTGATTAGAAATTCACCTTAAGTTTTTTGTTTATCCTTTGTCCATAGTCTTTCATAAATAAACTAATCTATTCTCTAAGTGTCAAAAGCTAGAAAAAAGAAGAAACTGTATCATTATCAAAAATGAAGTCCTTATATTTCAGCATATTCATGAAGTTCTGTATTTCCAATTGATGAGACTATCCATTCTTATAAATTTGAGTTACTAAAAACTTGAAGCAGTACTGAGCATCTGACTGTATTGCACTGTTGTGTTCCCTCTTGATGCTTCTATCATTTTTTAAAATTTTGATACCAATTTCCTTTAGTTATAGGAGTTTACGAGAACACCTCCTTGTTCTTTGCCCATTCCTAGAAGTAAGCAGAAAGAACACTGGTGGACTTAAACTCTCATTAGAGTGTTACAGGTCTTAGAGATGAGCTGCACATCATAAAATGGCCATTCCTATCTTGAGTTTTTCTCCTGGTACCTCTGCTGGCTCCTTTTTTTTTGCCTTGGCTCAATGCCTACTACAATGTTGAGATTTCTGAGTTCTCCTGAGACTCAGAGATTATAGAATATGATGATACTCTAGTGGCAAGTGGGCAGATAAAACTACCCACTTACACATTTGCTAGGAAGAATTAGAAGGGAAGAGGTACTTTGAGAATGCATTTTGCTCAGGGGAATCATAATGACAAGCTATAGCCAGCAATAGACGACTACTTGATGGACCATCTATCTCTGTAGAAGGCATTTGAACACGGTGAAGCCAGTAGCTAAGAGGCCAGTTGAACTTTTGAAACAGCAAATAGCATGCATCTGGGCCTTATATTCCAAGTTCTTATTTTATTATTTCTCTACATGTTTAAAGTGCAGGAATAATATTTTATTTCCAAGAGAAGATTTAGACTTAGGCCACAAAAATTTCTTTGGAGTTGTATGAAAAAATAAGTGGAGAGGAAAAAGAGTGAAATGGTAGCTCTTTCCATATTAGATTCCATTCTCAATCAGCACATTCCAGTGACATCCTGGACAGTCATGAGGTTTTTCTTTGCCTATGATTGTGTTGAGCTTATGTATCTGGATTGATGGCCTGACTGCTCCAAAATGTGGATCAGGAAGATACAGACTGCAACATAAAGGAGAAAGAGTGCATGTGATGAAAATAGGACATAATTTAGATTTGAAAGAGTTGGCTTTGAATTTAGTCTCTGCCACTCACTGTCTTTGTTTCCCAGCCAAGTCACTTAGCCTAAGTGAACATTAAAAAATAGGAATAAAACAGGACAATGGCTATGTGGGGCTTAAATAATATTAAAAGTAATGTTAAATTGAAGATAAAATTTCATAACCTGGGATTACCTACACATAGCTGACCTTAGTCACCATGAGATTTATGTGGTTATGGTTATAACTTCATTAGAAACACATTTGATCTCTAAGGAGTTAAACTCAGTAACCCCTAATTTTCCAACTTCAATCAATCTTAGGGATGTGTTGCCTCCATTTTCCTAGAAAGTGACTTGTTATTGATATTTTCAGAACTTTGAACTGTGAAAATTCTTTTACAAGGTTCCAAGAGACGATTAGTCCTGACTAGTTACCAGTACAGATAATTTTCCTTAAGCTGTCTTTGTTATAACCAGAAAAAACACTTCTGAGTTCCCTTCCCACCCATGAAAATCATTGCCATCC